GTTTGACCAAGGCATGTTTGTGGTCATGTTCAGAGGGAGATAAAGGAAATCTCAGACCCTGGCTTTGTTAAATTGCAAGTTATGTCATGACAGAGCTCGGGGATGAAGGAAATGTAGCAGCTCTAAAGTGTAGGTGCTCCATCTCCAAGGCCTGGGGAAAATTTCTAATATATTTGATTATGACTATCTCCTTTTATTAATTTTAAACTTTTTAATGGCAATAAAGAAAAAAAATAAAATCCCCAATCCATTCACTTTCAGATGTATCTTTACCTTTGCTTCTAGCTGTAGCTACAATTACAGAAGGGCCAGTTTTTATGAATTCAAATTCTTTTTTTCTTTCAGCTTGTATCTGTCCTTAAAACATATCCTTGCTCATCAGGAACTATTCAAACAAGTATAAACACACAGAATTTACCCATGGAGTTTAGCCTAACCTAAAGCAGAACTCCAGGTACTCTTTCAAATGGGATTTCTGTTCTTCGAGCAGTGACATCATGAACCTTCCATCCTTTTTCTAAATGTTGCTTTTAATAAAATGTTGCACAGAGTGACTCTTGGTGCCATTAAAAACAAAACTATTGCCATAAATAATTTTTCGTTAGGGCAAAGAAAGTGCTGTGAAGAAACACATATGAAGTAACCTGGCAAGATGTTACAGAAGATCTGGGGAACACACATCTGCTTCAAGGGAAGAAAAGTGAATTTCCTCAGAGCAGGGTTTCATGGCATAAATGAAAAGAAAATACATGATATATAGATTGGGGAGTTTAATATGTAGATTAAGAGGTAGATTTTGGTGAGTATGACATAGAATCATAGAATCCTTTAGGTTGAAAGGGACCTTCAAGATCATCAAGTCCAACCATTGAGCCATTAGGGCTCTAAAGTCCTCTGCTAAAACAGATCAGAATCTGTCAGGGTTGGAAGGGACCACAAGGATCACCCAGTTCCAACCCCTCTGCCATGAGCAGGGACACCTCCCACTAGATCAGGCTGCCCAGAGCCTCATCCAGCCTGGCCTTAAAGACCCCCAGGGATGGGGCCTCAACCACCTCCCTGGGCAACCCATTCCAGGGTCTCACCACTCTCATGGTGAAGAACTTCTTCCTCACATCCAGCCTGAATCTGGGGAGGAAAAAGATCTGTTGTGCAAAATGGCAGATATTTAGAATTATAATATTAGAAACTCTGAGGTTTAACATGGAATTTTTATTATATATGAACTTAGTTTCGTTTTTAACGCATCTTTTTAACTACCTATCTATACCCAATATGCCAAAAAAAGGAAAGTTTTCAAGGCTAAATATTTGTAAAGTCTTAGTAAACTTTTAAAATTGACTGTTAAATGTGTCAGAAACCCTCCAAAACCTGAATAAATAAAAGAAAAACAGTTTTGAAAACAAGTTGCAATACTAAAAGTAGATTTAGAAAACTAAATCCTCCCCAGCTGCTGTGGTAGCTCTCCAGCTTGTTTTTTAGAATCACAGAATGTTTTAGGTTGGAAAAAGAGCTTTAAAGGCCATCTAGTCCCACCACCCTACACTGAGCAAGAACATCTTCAACTAGAGCAGGTTGCTCAGAGCCCCAGCCAGCCCTTGGATGTCTTCAGGGATGGAGCATCAACCTCTGGGCAACCTGGGCCAGGGGCTCACCACCCTCAGTGTCAAAAATGGCTTTCTTATATCTAGACATTTAAGCCTATGTCTGCTCCTGCCCCAGCTCTGCTAGCTCATAAGCCTCACACAAATTGCATCTTCTAAAATTTAGACCAAGATTTAAAAAAAACTCTGCTGATTTTGTGGAAGTAGATACTGGCTCCAAGTAAAAGGCTAGAGCACTTTTTTTTTTCTGCAGTGTATAGACTTCTAGATGGTGATGTCAGAGCCCTGCAAGCTCTTATGTTTATAAATGACTGAGATCTGGGCAGGTATTGGATGGAGAGATGACTGTGTCTGGAAGGTGGTAGAAAAGAATTAACATGAGCCTGGAAGAGGAAAAATAGAATAGCTGGAGCAAAAATGTTCTGGACAAAATGTAAACACAGAAAAAATGTGCTAACGAGACATTGTCTTTCTCCAGCACGCTTTTGGGAAATGCACATGAACAGGTTTAGAAGTTTTTTGTGTTGTTATTAGTTTATTTTCAGGCCATTTATTTAAGTGTCATAAAGAACATTAGCTAGTGGTTAGGGACCACAGTATCCATTATATCATTCCAGTCGTGTGGACAAGTTTATGCTACGTATGATTTACAGTGGCCTTTCTGCAGTTCAGATTGTTCTGTTCAGGTATGAGCTTTTAGACACGGTTGTTTTTAGCCAAATCCAAGTGCCTGAGCACAGAGAAGTCTTCCAGTCAAAGTCCAAAAAATTAATGCTCTAACACAAACACCGTGGGTTGTGAGGAGAGCTGTTCATGGCCCTCTGCCTACATCCTTTATCATGTCTCCACTGTTGTTAGTAAAATACACAGAACTACTTTATGCCAAAACAATGGAAGTTAATGCAGATAACTTGTCCCAAAGTTAACCATCAAATAAATCTTTTTTTTTTTTTTTCTCAAACTGTTAAGTGAAATGGTGTTCTAAAACTTTTAAAAAAATTGTCAAGATGATGAATACTCTGTGTGTAACACAAGTAAATACCACGGAATTGATTACACACACATGTCTTCAATAAAGGATATTAAATAGTTTATTCCAGAGAGAGACTGGTGAAGTTTTATCTAATATTATTAGGAATTCTGCAGTGATGGAACAGGTTTATAAGGGCTGAAAACTACGAAGAAAACCTCTTCAGAAATAGAAATAATGCACTGAGTGGAGGATTGGCTGGGACATTAAAGAGAGGCTGGGGGATAGAGCCTGCCTAGGTAGTCCAACCTCTCACACATCGAGCAGTTCTTCTTAATGACAATGATTTTTCAAAATCTCTTACTTAAATTTGGGGGTGGTAAATCAGTGCTCTCAATTCAGCTACAGACTTGATGGTTTAGGGCAAGTCCTTTAACCTGTTTCCAGCTTTTCTCATGCATAAATACATAAAGGTGTGTCCTCATGGGGATGCGTTTGTCCTTCAGAGGAGCCACCACCGACCAGTTTTAGGTCTAGAATTCAACTTAGACTGTCAAAATGCTGACCCAACTGTTAAGAAATATATGTTTGGAATTTAGCCATTCTGACTTTATGCTCTTCTCCTCTGAGAACCTGAGGGTGGCTAAATCACTGGGATGGGAATGGTTTAACTCAGGCTTGTTTTGCTTGTAACAAGTAATGGATTTGGGTGAGGCTGTTGAATGTGATTGAATTTTTTTTCTGGTTGTATCTACAGAGCAGCTCCAATGAGTGATGGTGAGCAGTGGAAAAAAGGTAGATCTGGTAGATGATCTGGTCAGTGACTTGAAAATGGAGCTTAGTGTGGATAAACCTGAAAATAGTACACCAAGGGACAGCAAGCCAAAGAATAGACACTGCATGAAATGGTTACACAGTGTCCTGACTTAGGAAAGAAGATTTAGGGGTTTGAAGAAAAATCCTCAAAGCAATTAGTCAAGAGTACAGCTGCAGTAAAGCTCACAGTGTGTTCATGTTTGTGTTTTGGTGCTGATTTTGAAGAAAAAAGGTCATGTTGTGTTTAAAGGTGCTCCATTGCAGAGCCATGTGGGTGATTCCAGTGTTTAGGAACACTTATTTGGATGAAGAGGGAAGGGAGCAGTTTGTTCACAGCCCAGAAACGAGCTGTGATGGAGGGAAACTCTGAAGAACTGTGGAGGAGGTTGATAACATGGAGCAAGTGTGGGCTTTAGTAAACAGCTCAATAAACAGGCTGTAGTGCATAAACATTTGGAAATTAAAAGGAAACAGAAAATTTAAATGTCTCTACTTATCTGGGAGAACCGTAATCACACTGAAAAGCATGTAAGTAAATAATATTTGGGTAAATTAACTTGAGGTACAGGCATTTAGAGTGAGGATCCCATGGTGACCATGCATGTAGTCCTCTCCGTGTTAATTTAGAAGAGTCACATCTGAATGAAGGAGCTTCACTCAAGTGTTTCCTGGGCACAGACTGTAATTCATTACTACTTTAAATCAAATAATAAAACTGCATCTGCATAAAATGTTACATTTCATGTATTACAAAAATGAGTTTAGTGGCCCAAATATGAACTGTGCAAATGCATCCTGCTGTTGGGAAGGGTTTTCTGCAGCATGGACATCAGATGGGAGAGCCAGTGACATCAATATTGTCTGTGGTACCTCAGGAATGTCATGAGCAGCTCTGCCTCAGTTTCCCCACCTTTACTGGTCTTTGGAAAAACCATGGGAATGGTTTTATCCTGTGAATAGCTATACAACTCAATCCTCTTCTCTTAGGTGTGGAGGATTTTTTTTTTCTAATTTAAGATTAATTTTCTCTGTTGATCTTTACAGAAGGTGAGGATAGTCGGGTAAGACAATCCACTTCCATGTCATGCTCTGTGTTTGGCCCATAGTATTGGGCACCAGACAGCCTTTCTGTGTGAGCTTCCATTGACCTGTGATGAAGGAGCTTGCTGGGCTCGAGTCTAGACATAGAACTGACTCATGTTAGGTTGAGCACCACTGCATTTGGCATTTGCTACCAATCTTAGCAGTAGTCCTGGCAAAAATGCCAAGACTTTTCTGGCAGAGTTTTTGCCTTTTAACTTCCAAGATATGCTTGCTTTATTTTATTTTAACAGGCAAATACTTTTGTTCTCCCTGTTGACGTATGTGCCATCAGCAGCGATGTGCTTCAGTGGAGAATTTTGGCTTCTCAGCCAGTGAACCTGTTATTTTATTTCACAGGTACCATACTCACTAAAATATATACATATGAAGTGTATCATTTACTGAATGCTAGTGGAGTTGCTACTTGGACGGATGTCAAATATCAACCGTGTTTGGGCTTCTCATTTGCTATTAATTAATTAGCAATTACCAGGTGAAACTGAAATCCAGCCTGATCACAGATACAG